TTCAAGTTCAAGAGTAAACAAACCAGATATTACAGCAGTTGCAGAAAGAATCCCTTAATACTGTATATTCAAATTATGTTCACTCTTAATTAAGAGACATGTATTTTAGTTAATTTTTTGCTGGGAGTTCCCAATCCCGAATTTAAAATAAAGCAAATCTCTGTAAAACAAAACATAGAAGGGAAGAGCTGGTTCCTTCCAAGGCTACTTCGGCTCCATTTGTTCATGTAAAAAATAAACCCACTCTTTTAATTAAAAATAAATACTTTCTAAGCCTCTCTTTTCCTGACATTTTATTTAGACTTGTTAGCTTAAGCCACTCAGTCATATTTGTCATTCTTTTGTTGCACTTTTCCCTATATATAATTAGTTATAGTCTGGTTGTAGAAATTAATTGACATATTTCAACCAATGGTGAAAACAGTAATAACTGCACTTGTACAATATACCTTGTACTTTAATTGGATTCATCTCAAGACCTTTTCGATTTTCACTGTTATGGTATTATCAAAGACATCCACCTTGATGGTTTAACTGGATTAGCCACACTCATCTCTCCCTTCTCTGTTCTTCCATTTAGATTATAAATCCTAAACCTTATTACCTTATTATTTCATTATACTAAATTACATGCAACACTTATCTGTACACCTGATCTATTTCTAGCTTTCTAAATGTAGTAGCCATTTTCTCATCCCAATTCTATTGTATATAAGTGAATTTTGCTCTTAAGAAAATGCAAAGAGTTCAAACAGTTGGTCAGTTTCATTGTAAAAAAAGGAAAAAATGGCATACTTCAAAATAAGAAGCAACTCCCTCTAAATGAGTCAAAAGGTATTTTTCCGTTTCTTTATGCTAGTGACAAATAAGCATTTGCATAGCTGTCTCAGCAAAACTTTTCTAGTTTTTTAAATAAACTAAGACATCACCCATTCATATCTCAAAAAGTTCTAAAAAGCCATTTTTGAGCTGGAAGAAGATAGCCATGGTTCCAAAAATTAAAAACTACTTTTAAGATAGTGGGGATTTGAAAAGTAGTTACTGGAGCACGTTTATATTCAATCCAAGCCCCCTCCCCAAATCTAGGTACTAATGGTCTGAAATTTGGAATTGCTTTTGGAAATTAAAAAGCTATCTTTAAAATTCTGATTTGTTCTAAAGATGTGAACTTGCTCCCTCTGTAAGGACACAGTATAGTTCCGAGACAAAGAACACCTTATACATTCAAAGTTAAATGTTTACATATTGAAGCAGTGAAAATGAAACCTCTCAAGATTCTGCTGAGCTTCCAGGCTTTCAAATAGAAAAAAATCAGACTGAAAAAATAAACACGAGAAGGTTTGTCAACCATAAATCAAATCCCAAATAGGATCCAGATGGTCCACAAAAATCACTGTTAAGAACATCCTGTTGTTCAAATAGTACCCAAACTTTACCAATATACCGTATTTACTTGACTATAAGACAATCCTGAATATAACATGACCCCCCAATAATGACATTCTATATATGGAAAACTTATAAAGTTGTTATAATTTTCCAGGCATACTGTATAATTATTGGAGGTTTGCCTTGAATTTCTCCCACTCCCACTGTTACAGCAGGGAAAATAAATGGGGGGGGGCCCACCTTTGAAAGGGGGAAAAAGTGAGGGGGGGGGGGGGGGGAAGAGAATCAGGTGCTCTACCTTGTCCTCTACCCCCACCCCCATCTTCTTCCCCCTGCAACTCCTTCTCTACCATCTCCCTGCAACTTCTTCCCCCCTGCAGCAACTTCCCCATCCCTGCTCTCCCTGAGGATGTGGAAATGAGGGACACATTTGAAAATACTGATGTTGACATAAACATAACTCTATGAATTTGCATATAGAGAAATTACTACAGATTCTCATAGATTTGATTCATCCATAATGAATGGATTTTATCTTTTTTGAAACTGCTGCAAGCTTTACCTTTTGACCTTTTTTGAAACTGCACAGCTACTCCATAAAAACACTTTGAAGCAGCACTTTTGTACCTACTTATATATAGTGCAATTTTTTTTAAAGTAAAATTTTCATGTTCCAAACCAAATCAGAGAAATCAATTCCAAATCCGTGAGTCATTCAAAAACCATGTGTGGCCCTACTACCAGCAAACATCCTCTACCCCCGCCTGGGCTTCAGATGCTTCCAAATCCTTTGGCAGGCATCCTATGTGTGGGCCCAGGCCCAGAGCCTTGGGGTTCAGATGCCCCAAAGTTTCGCTTGCCCTCAGCTGTATGGCCACAGGGGCAAGCTGGGGAGAAGTCTCTCATTTCCATACAGTGGGCATATAGCCAAGATCTTCCCACTGGAACAGAAAGTGGGAGACGATGCCTTACCTAGGTCAAGGTACTACCTCTTGCCAAGAAAGTGGTTTTCCTCTGCAACTATGAAAGCCGCATTTATGCATGAGATTAGTCCAAAGCCAAAAGGCTCATAATTTACCATGTAGTTCACTGGACTGTGCCCCAGCAGAGTCAACAGTGTTTCAAAGCATGGTGAACCCACAGCTAAGCAGTGATCAGTATATCCCCCACAAAGGATCCATGAGCTAATTACCCTCCTCCCCATTCATGACTGGAACCATGTGTTTTTGTCACAAGTCCTGGGATGCTCCAAAAATTTACAGACAGATGAAACATAGGGCAATCTGGTCTGGCTTCACCTCATGGGGTTCAGGACCATGCTAATCATATGTGACAGGCTGAGAGATGAGGTGACAAGAGGGATTCCGGGTGAAGTGTTTGAGGTCCTGTTTGGTGATATTTACCACATATTTAAAGCTGGAGAAGAAATAGGAATCATTGGAAATGGGAAAGAAAGGTTCAGCTCAGTTGTGGGCATGACGAGGAAGTTGCAATATATTCAATGTAGTGACTCACTATGACCTGAAAAAGAGCCGGTGCTAAGGGAGACTGAGCATGATGGACACTATCGTATGTTTCATTCAGATGGGCTGCATTAACCTATTCTTGTTGTAGGTTTCCGTTAGGATGTTTGCCTAATATGGACCATGTGTTTTAGAGTCATGTTCAGTGTTAGCTACATTTTATCATAGTTGGTTTCCATTACTGAGTACATACTGCTTTTGGCACCAGTTTAATGATAGACAATGTATTTAATGAGATTTCCTTGTATGTGAATATGAGAGGCTCGTTTCTTCCATGCTGATTGGGGGGAAAAGCCTTGTCTTATATTTGAGTAAATATTATAGTAATCACTACTAATTACACCCTAATTGCATTCACTTCTAAACAACTATGCACACTTATCCTGTTAAAACAGAATTGCAATTGTAGTTTGTTTCTTTGCCTCTTCAGCAGTCTTCCTCTGCACAAATACAGCTCACAAAACTTTCCTGTGACAGGTAAATATTTTAAGAAAAGAAAATGAAAGAGACAGCATAGGGCATTTACAACCTCTTTAGCTGTCAGACTTTACATTAGTTTAAATAGTCTTGAGTGGTGATTGCTGAAAAATGCAATGTTTCTATTACTTCATAATACCAGGGAAGACAAATTATGGCCCATGAGCTAAATATGGCCCACCAAGGGATTCTGTCCAGCCTCTGGTAGGTCCCTTGGCCCTGCCTGGGGCTAGGCACAGAGGGCAGCCTGGGCTGTAGTGTGTGTGTGGCCTATTCCACTGTCCCAGCCACGCAGCAGGACAGGGGTGGTGTGACAGCCAGACTTGACATCCTGGCAGCCCCCACCATGGTGGCTCACTCTGGCCAACTGCCACTGCCAGTCCACCCCATACCCACCACCATGGGCGCCAGGTGGAGCAGGTGGGGAGTTCTCTATGGAGACTAGCTTGGAGCCCCTGTGGGCAGGGCTCACTTGGCAGGGCAGATAGAACGGGGCTAGGATAGGATCTGTTCCCTGCACGTCCCTATGACGGGTGCCGGTTCCATGGGCAGGGATGTGCAAGGAGTGGATCATGACTCTGCCCCAGGCTTTGGCCCCAGCCCCGGCCCCATGCTATCACCCTCCCACAATCCTGGCTTTGGCTTGCCCGTTCCACTCCCAGACACCGCTCCCTGTCCACCCATGGCCCCATCCCATCTGCCTGGCCGAGCACATCTTGCACGTGGGGGGTCCCAAGCCGTCTCCATGGAGACCCTGCCTGCGTGCTCTGTCCAGCACCACCCCTCCAGGTGCTGGGTCACACAGGCCAGATAGAGTCAGTTGCCTCCCCCCACCCCTTCTGTGCTGGGTCAGCAAGAACTGCTGTCTTCTGCTGGGGAGCCAGTATTTTATTTTTATTAATTTTTTTTGGTGATTTTGTGGGTTTCATGGACAATCTCAGATTTCCTGTAGTTTCAACAAAAGTGTGAATTAAGTAGGTCCCTCATAATAGGCAACTAATCATTATTTATGTACTGTAGAAGCTAAACACTTTGTTATGTAAATCTTAATCAGTCACTGATTCAGAAGTCATACACATGATTATAGAGGCTCCCACTCCATAACTTATAGAATGAAGCACAATTGTACATCCCAACTGATGCAATACTCTTATCTTTAAAGTTCAGCAAAACATAAATAAAAACAAATAATCACTAAAGAATAAAGAGACTAATGAAGTTGACAGCAAAAAATAAAGAGAATAAAATGAGTTAAGATCAGATCTAAGAAGTACATTTTACTGCATATTAGGAAAACAAGCTTCTGTTCACGTCTGAGTCAATTTAACGTAATTTCCTCTACCAAACAATAAATGTAATGGCAATTAAATTAGTCTATTTATGACATCAGAAACCTACAGAGATCAGGCTGAATTATAGTGTCATCTTCTTAAAGCAAGGAAATAATCATTTGAACATATTGGAAAAGCCATACAGTCCTAGGAAAGCTTGGAAGATCCACTGCCTCTACTTTAGCAATCTGCAGAGATTAATAATACTGTTGCCTACATGGGTCACTTTTATATGAGCACTGATGCCCAAAACAGGTGCTAATATGAGCAATATACTCACCTAGCCTGCTACGCCTGACCTCATCTGGTGAGACAGGACGCAGCTTTCTTTCCGCCTTGATTTCCTCCAATATCCTTTCATGGAGGCTGCGTGGTCGAGGTGGCGTTGGTTTCAGTTTTCTTGCAGATGCCTTTGGAATTAAAACAGTGACTATTAAAGCAAAACATTACTCCCTAGAAGTGATTCCATAAGTGTTCTTTTAAGCAGCAGATTATCTTGAAGTGATTTTATGTGCATTCAATTAAAAGACAACCAGAATATTGGAAGGATAATTTTGAAAGCCTCTAAGACAGTGGTTCTCAACCTTTTTAAATTAAAGGCTCCCCTCAGAAAATGCCAGCTCTTAGGCTTTCTTCGAACATTTTTTCTATTGCAAAGAATGCAACAGCCAGAATGTTTTTGATGCTATGGATTTCTATTTGAAATTTCTGGTCTTGTGTACATCATATTTGTACACCAAACAGTGGTAATATTGTGCAGCACACTCAAAAGCATCTCACAGCACCCCTGGGTGCACTCTGGTTGAGAATCACTGCTCTGAGACAACATAGTTCCATGCAGATATGGCACAAACATTAATGTAAAGGTGCCATGGTTTTACAATGATCATCTTACACAGACCTTGTTTTATACATACAAGACAACATTTGTGGTGCAGCACACACAAATATTTTTGCTACAGGATCATTTTAAAACAACAACAACAACAACAAAAATCACAACTATTCCCTGACCACAAGCACATTTTAAAAGCCATGCTTTCATTAGGAAGAAACATATTGGATTACATACAGGGTTTAATGGAGGTCGTGATCGGATAAAATCCAGGATTATTTCATGAGCGCTCTTTTTTAATCGAGGTGGAATATCACCACTGACCTGAAAGAAGGAAAATGAAACATGTATTTTTATGCTCTGCATTCAAATTTGTGCTCTCAGATGAGATCAGATAAACATACTTAACATCCAGAGGGAGCCTTTAGTTTTGACACAAACATATTCTAAAAATGTCATCAGTTCTGAAAAAAGTGATAATTTGTATGCAGGATATAGAAAAGAAATGCTGCATATAAGAGCATTTTCATTTTATAAGCAGATGTAGAATGAATGCAGTCACAGTAATGTTAATTACTAATACTTAGGATTTAGTAGTGAAATCAGGGCTTGCAGGAGAACAGAGGGTTCATTAGGGCATTGACAAACTTCTGCAGTGTTTTGGAGGACAAAATGCAAACAGCTCTTAGCTAACTGTTTGAATCCAAGAGAACAACTTGCGATGCTGATAATTTTGCAAATTATTATGCTGTCTCCAATACCGTGGTTCTTAACCTTGTTAAATTCAAAGCACCCCTCAGAAAATGCCCGCTCCTAGCTTTCACTCATTTCTTGACTACAGAAAAATAACCTGTTTTTCTGGTGCAAGGAACTCAGAAAGACCACAACAGGTCAGAATATTTTTGACACTATGGATTCCTGTTTCAAATCTCTGGGTTTATCTTGTAAACTGTGTGGGTGTTTGCACACCTAAGAGTGATACTTGCGTGGCACCCAGTGACATTCTTAAAGGAATCTCATGGAACCCCAGGGTGTTACAGCACTCTGGTTGATAATCATTGCTCTAATATTCTGTTTTTCAGGAAGGTTATCAAGAAGGTTGTGATGAGGCAACTCGGGCATTACGTAGGGTCCTGAGATTTTCATGAGCCCTTTTCCATGTTGTTTCTGATTTGGGTATGGGCACTCAGACTGTGCTAGTCCCATTGACTAAAGATCTGTTTCTAGAAACAGAAAAAGATCAAGTGTCCCTTCTCATTCTTTTAGATCAGGGTGGGCAAATATTTTGCCTGGAGGGCACCTTAATGACTTTTGGTGAGCTGTCAAGGGCCACAAGGGTAGCCCCACCCCTTGACAGGTGCCCTGCCTGGAACACCATCTGGGGACGAGAAGTCCCACCCCTAACCTTTGCCACCGGAAGTCCCTCCTCCTGCCCCCAAAAGCACTCATTTTGGGAGGAGGGGTTGCCATCTTGGAACCAGAAAAAAAATCATATACTATGAATCAAATATCTACTATAATATATTTTAATTTTATTTTAAAAAATATTTTTGTCCTGATTTACATGCGTTTGCATAGTGTATATAGAGGTGTTTGCATAATAGCTCAAAATAAAGTCTTATTCTCGGATTTTGTGTGTGTGAGGGAGGTATGGGATTTGTGTGGGGCGTGGATGGGTTTTGGGGGGCTTGTAAAGTGGGGGGGGGCTGTGGATGTGTGTGTGGGTTGGTATGTGGTTTGTGGGGGTGTGGTCTGTGGGTGGTATGGGTGTATACGTGGGTGGGTGTGGGGTGTTTGTGGGTTTTATGGGGTATGTGGGTGTGTGTAGGAGATGTGGGGGGGGTGTCAGGTTTGTGGGGGAAGTGTGGGGCCCCCCTACCACATACCCCTTCCCCCCCATGGCACACAGCCTCTACTTCCAGTGGTGGCAGCAGCAGGTGATGGGCCCTCAGGGCACTCATGGCCCACAATAGGCAGAGCCCCCTGGGCGGCACATGGCTCCAGCTGAGTCCTAGGGGCTGCACATGGCACGGAGCTAGCCTGGCTCGCTGCTGCACGCCTCTAAAACAAACTGGACTGGCTCTGTGCCATTGTGTGGGGATCATGGCACTGAGGGCAGGAGCCATGCACCTGTGGGGTGGGCCAGGCCAGCTCTGTGCTTTCACATAGCGCTTCCATCACTCTAGTGGGAAACTGCACATGGTGACACAGAGCCTGCCTGGCCCAATGGCCCATGACTCCTGGTCCACATGTAATTGGTTAAGGCAGGCTCTGTGCCGCCATGTGGGGCTCCTGGCTTTGCAGCCAGGAGCACATGCTGCTGAGCCAGGCCAGGCCAGCTCCATGCCACCACCTGCAGCCCCCCAGAATTCAGCCAGAGCCATGCATCACTGGAAGGCTCTGCCTATCATAGGCTAGGAGAGCTCTGAGGACCCAGTGCCTGCTGTTGCTGCCTTTGGCAGCAGGGGCTATGCACCATAAGGTGGCAAGGGGCCCATACCCCTCTACACAAACCCCACACCCAGCCCCCACAAACCCCACACCCATGCACACCTAACCCACACTCCCGACAGCCACCCACACACACATACGTGTGTGCACACCATCAGGCTAGGCAGATTCCCTGTTACCACATTTGGTTCCTAGCAATGCAGGCAGCAGCTCCACTCACCAGCTATCCAGTCACCTGGCATCACGCTCAGTGACTCCACACGGGGCTCCCAGCTGGACTGCCAGGAGCCCCAAGGACATGGAGGAGCCTGCCTAGTCTGATGACACACCACCTCTGAAAGCCTGAGCCTCCCAGTGGCTGCCAGAGGGGCAGCTACGCCGGTAATAATTGTTTTTTGGAGGGCCCCACAGGCCAAATAGAATGGCTGGATCTAGTCCCTAGGCCATATTTTGCCTGCCTGTTTTAGATCTACCAGCTGCCAATCAACCCTGAAGATGTGCCCCATGTCTGCAAATCTCAGCAAAACGTGATGGTATTACTTTAAAACTGCTCCACTCTAAATTTCTCAATGTTTAAAGTCACCTGACTACACTGATCTACCTATACTTTAAAAAATGCTTTGAAGATTTAAACTGAGCTTGCAGATAAATGATATACTTTGATAATAAATGTAAATAATCAAGACATTAAAATAAACAATTCAATTAAAAGGGAATATGACACTCTATGATATGGAGAGTATTATTTTAAAGCAATTAAGTATATTTTCCACTTAAAAAAAAAATTGACAGTTTTCAGAAAGCATCATGGTTTTCACAGTTGAAAATAAGATAAGAAATCTCCCATCTCCAGGCTACTTTTCAAGAGCTATCAAAGGCAGGAGCAATACAAAATTAACATCAGACAGCTGCATGGTGAGCTGAGGGGGTCTTAATCCAGTCCCAAGTGGTCATATCTTAATATACCAATATAAAATAGAAAACTTTGCATTTCAATAGCACTTTTCATCAAAGGACCTCCAAGTGCCCTACACACTGAACTGAATAACAAGCTACCACTGTCCCATCAATAAAGGTTAAGAGCCCAACTATTTCACATCTGGAAAAACTGAAGCCGAAGATGCATTCAAATAATTCCTCAAGGTCACAAAGGAAACCTGTGTCAAGGTGTCTGTCATAGTTAGCAGCAGTATCAGTAAAAAGCTGAGGAACGGAGGAAGAGCTTGGAGATTTAGGAGGCAGCAGCTGCCAGAGCAGACTGGGAGCCTGGGGGGCTGTATGTTAACATGGTAACTCCTCAGGGGCTGCATGCAGCCCCCAGGCTACTAGTTGGATTGCCCTATACTAATGTTTATTCAGAGTGCCCCAAAGAACTTTTGAATTTATCCCAAATGCTTATTTTGGGGGGAAAAAAGTTTCTAAAATGAAGTCTAAAGAATAATTTTGTACAAACTCTGTATAAACTGTTGCTGTTAAACAGGTAAAATTAGTAATCTACTAGTAATCTACTGAGGTCATAAGATCCACCAGAAATTTAAACAGTCACACAGTAAAAACAAAGTGAAATTAAAAAGTAATTAAAAATGGCTGCCTGCACTTGCATTCAGTCCATCACCACCAAGTTTGATAAATCTGATTTGTGGCTAAACAGGTTAATTGCATACAAGAAAGTTCAGTTTACTGAAATATTACTTAGCTATAGCACTTAGAAATATTACTCAGCTATAGCACTTACTTATAATAAAAGTGGAGAAGTAGCTGCAATTCTATAGAACTCAACTTTAGTAGTTTTGACCTTTACCTTTAAAATAGCTGGAATTCTTATACTATTAAAGATCAATGAAAACCAGAAAACTGCAGTTATTAGTAATTATTACCCCACCTTGCCTTACAATCTGGAGCACCAAAAGCATTTCTAAATAAACTGTAAATTAAACCTTTTGTTCCGTTTTCAAAATTCCTTCTGGAGGCACTCAGGCCAATAATACTTTTATTTTGCTAGGGTGTTATATTATGACCACCCCCCCCCCCCCCAAAAAAAAAAAAAAAGTAATCACTTTATATTATAAATGAAAGAAATTTACTTTATAATGCCTTTTCACATAATTGTAAGATTTAGGTAACATTCTGTTATAATTATTAATATGTACTTTGATAGGTACCCATTAATGCTGACAACTCTTACACCTGCTTTGTTAACAATTCTGCCAAGTATCTGGTTCAACTGACAGGAAGAAAAATAATTTTTCTTCCCCTGGCTGCTTTTCAGTTCAGATTTGAGGTTTTTATCTTTCCTTCTCCTTTTATATAATAGTTATGACAGTCTTCTGATGGGATGATATATATTTAGGTATGATCCATGACAGACTTCTAAAAGATGCTGTACTGATAAGATCTAAGTGAACTTGTGCTGATGTGTGAACCTGGCAGGCTTAGTAAATTTTATTCCACGTTAAATTGTATCTCTATTATTGTACAACTTCCTGAATATCTTTAGGCATACTCAGCAGTAAAACAAAATTCTCAGAGGAAACATGTAGTAATAACCTAGTTATTTTTTCATTATGAAGATACTAGCAAACCATAGTCAGACAGTCAAATAGTACCACAGATTTTATATCTGCAGCAGATTCTAATCCTAATTTATGTTTATGTATGTGTGCCCAAAGATCATTTTAGACAACCTGCCTAGTATTTCACAGATGAAAGCAGCAAGATAGAACTGGAGGTTTGCAGGCAGGCAGGTTTGCAGCCTGGATGCCAGGAGGAACAAACATGCCTTCAAAGCCTGGTATGTAATAAAGAAAAACACTTGAGAAGAAACAGAAATTAGTTTAACAGAAGGTGAAGCTGAAGCTAATTTGGTAGAAGTTGAACTAGAATATTGCCCATGGATACCCATTCAAACAAAACTACAGCACTCAATACATCTATTATGTCCAAAAGTCAAGGTCCACAAGGTTTTATTTTTCAGTGGATGAGATTTTAACACCTAGTACAGGCCTCTGAATCAATAAGTTCAGGAAAGATAGGGATGTTATCTGTCTATTTATGTACTTACTTTGGCCCTACCACTATGTACTCTGAGCAGCAGCATCTGCTGTAGGAAAAACTTAGATATGATAACAAATTCTGTTCCTGACAGGCACGAAGCCTTTCAGTTCACTTGTAATGAACTATTTCTATTCTTAAGGAAACATATTAATTTACTTGAATGTTTGGGTGCTCAGATTTTTTTCCTTCTAGTTTTTTTCCCTAAACATCTTTAGTCTTCTAATCATCCACTGATTATCTGCTCGATGCATAGGATTCCATCCCAAACATCAAAAGGAAAAAAAAATAGATTTGTAGCAGAGTAGAAGCACTTCAGTCATGGAGCACTACCTTGTATTTGTTTTGCCTTAAGATTTGTGCTAGCTTCCTTCAAGTTTGCAAATGTTTTTCCTTGGTACAGTATCCATTTGCTACTCAGGCCCTTTGAGTGTCAGGCACCACAGGTATCCTGCTGCAAGCAGGCACTCAAAGGTGCTCTGCCACACCAACCTTTCTGGCAGGCATGCCCCATACTAGGCCTTTATACTCTCCAAGTATACTCCAATCCTGCCTTGTGTTCCCTTCTGCTTCTTGCCCTCTACTCCCTGCCTGATCTGTTGCTCTGCTTTCTGTTTCCTTCCCCATCTGCCACTGTGCTGCCTGTCCCATCTCTGACCTGCTGCATGCCACATACAGAGGTGGTCTGTATCACTTGTGGCATGTGTGCCACAAGTTGTTCACTCCTGCCTCACACCATACAGTTTCCTAATCTGTGCCTTTACGATGTAGATAGATATTCCACAAGTAAACCACTGACATTTGAAGCCTGCCTTCAAGCCTCAGCTTGTTTTTGGACTTCATAAAAGCACTAGGCTGCACTAACATAATTGTGCCCAAATCAGAATTTATGAAGCTTTTTCATAGGTGAAGATTTCAAGGGAAAATAATAAAATCCCATAAATTATTAATACATGAAACATAAATGGGCCCCTGCTGTTTCAGTAAGTCAAGCATGTGATGTATATGCAAATACTTCAGGTTTTCTTGTTCCTTTAGGAAATGTCCTCCTCCAGCACTTCATGAATTTTCAAAGTATCATGGCCTAACATCTTCAAATTAACACATTTAACTTTCCAAAATTATGTTATGATCTGAGAGTAATGTGTCCCCACCATAAAGAGCCTACAAGAATTTCTGCTCAATAGTGAAGAATGGCAAAACATGTTTGGTGTCACTAGGAAGCCAGTATAAAACCAATTTGTTCAAGGATATAAAATTTAGGTTCCCTGTCTGCTGCAATTTTTCAGTTCTTGTCGCATGAAAATGCAGTGTGTAGCATTTACTTGATTAATTATTTGCTCTAGAATCATTTTCAAAATTTAGGATATAGTTTAAACTAGAATGGAGGCCAATTCTAAAAATTAAGATAAGGCAAGAGGGACCTTTCATGTTTATATTAATACTGCTCTAACTCCAGGCTGTCTAAAAGGTGACCTATGGGCTGCATCTGGCCCCCAAGGGATCAGCCTATGGTCCCCAAGCTCTTGTTCTGGATGCTGCTCCCTCCATTGCTCCTCTTCTGCTACTACAGAAATCTTCAGGCTCTCCTGCACTCCTCCAGCTTTCATAGCTCTCCTGAGGGAGCTCCTGCTTGGAAGGCAGAGGCCAGAGGCGGATCCAAGGGAGTGCACTGGTGCACCTGCAGCCCCGTTGGATTCTCGTTCCACCCAAAATTTAAAACTAACTCCCTGGAAGTGGCAGCAGCATTTCTAGTCAGGCAGTGCTGAGGGAATCAATTACTTCTAAACTATTAAATCCAGGAGTTTTAATGACCCTCACTTTTTTTAATAGTCTTGTTTTTCCACCAATCAAGCTATCCTTTGTTCTGAAATTCTGCTGTCTGTTAGGTGATTCTGGTAATGAAGCTCCCATTTCACAGCCCTGCAGACTGTTTTTGACCAATTCCAATGAAGTTATCTTTGTTTTTTTATTTCAATCTTAAACTGAATAATACAGCCCTAGGCCCCTGGCATATCAGTAAGACTTCTAGTTCATTTTTAAGTGGAGTACGAAAAAGAAAAAAAAAAAGTGTTTTTATGTGATGATGGACCTCACCACCTGCACCCCCTTTTCAAAAGTCTAGATCTGCCCATGGCAGAGACCCAGTGTGCTGCAAAGAGAGTGGTGCAGCACAGGTTACAGTCCAAAAGGGGGAAGGCGGGAAACACAGTGCACTGCAGCAGGGTGCACCCACAGCAGAGGGGGCAAGGGGCCTCACGTGATGTGACATGCAGCTTGGGGAGGCGGGGGGCACATGGCCAGGGTGCCAACTATTGTAACTTACCATAACCTTCCTTAAGGTGTAGCGCTTAGATCTAATATCATCCATCAGCATCTCGTAGGGCGTGAGCTGATATTCTATTGGGAGAGGGTTGTACTGACGCTCTTGAACCTTTTTAAGTTTTACACCATTCCGCAAATCTCGCATCACCTGTACCCAAAAACGAGCCTGGAGACGCACAGGAAACAAATATTGTTATAAATGTCTGCATTCATTACTCCTGAGTACCAAGACAGTTTAACCTAAAAAACACTGACTCCCCACATCTGAATAGCTTTAAACCCATTACATAAAATTGACTGACTTCAACCCCAGCTTGGGCTCAAGGTTGGAGTCAGAGACACTGACTTTGCTCTGCAACCTGTTCCTACCCTCAATTGCAGCTTCAGCCTGGCAGTGGCAGTGACAGCAGCCCCAGGCTGAGCTCAGATTACCTGCCCTACAATCGCCTGCCTGCCAATACTGCTTGCTTCCCTGCTGCTGTTTTCCCAGATGCAGCTGAGGCAAGTAGGTGTGTTGGAGTGGGGGGGCAAATTATGAATATATATTTTTAATTTGCACGTACAGAATCTAGTTTTGGGGGGCTGTCTTAAATTCAAGGTCATACTGGATTCAGGTTAAATTAGAAGAGAAAACAAAAGCTGTGAGTTATTTTGGTTCCTCATTACAGGGGGGTAGGTTGTAGCCATGTTGGTCTAAGGACATAAGCAGACAAGGTTCTTTGGGTAAATCTGATATCTTTTATTAGACCAATTCAAATAGTTGGAAATTTTTTTCTTAGCAAGCTTTTGTGTTTAACCCTGACAAAGGGTTTTTAAATACATAAGCTTGCTAACAATTTTTTTCCAACTATTTGAGTTGGTCTAATAAAGATATTAGGTTTACCCAAAGAACCTTGTCTGCCTTTGGTTCCTCATGGATTTTACAAAATCACATTCGAACTCGGCATGACTTGCACTGTCAGCTCAAGAGATGTTCAAAACTGGAATAGCAGGGATATGACATATGATGAGGAAGGTATAATGACAGAGCTACATAAGGAATCTGCACAGCATGTTATCGTTTTGCTGTGTCTTCCCCATGGAGTTCACATAACTGGCTTTAATACCAAAACACTATGGGTGCTTACAAATGTGGAAAAAAAACAAAACGGCACTTTTCTTTCAGCTCAGTGCATCCCTGTGCCAAGCACAACACATGCCCAGAAGAGGTATTGCATCAGTTTGACCCGGCTAGCCCAGCATTTGTATAACTCACACGCTTTAGCGGGGCTTTCTGGTGCTTTTATCTAATAGCTTATTTAATAAGCTATTAGATAAAAATGCCAAAAAGCCCCACTGAAGCACAAGCGATACAAATCCTGGGTGAGCTGGGTCAAACAGATGTGATGCCTCTTCTGGTAAAGCGCTGGTTTCCACCCTCCACCCCGCAACCCATCCCCAACCCCCCGCATCCGTCAGCACCCTATGTAGTTTGTATTTTAGCACGTGCAATGTTTGTATTTTAGCACATGCAGTGTAATGTAATAAAAGTTTTACGTGTCCATGAGGATCAGTATCTTAGATAGCAAAGCTTAAAGGGAACCTTGACTTCATACATAAGCATCTGTAAAGTTTGAGCATACTGGTAGTGCTAGGCAGATACAACAAACAATGAACTAATTAAGAAACAACTAATCGTTGTTATTCCTTGGCCCAGAATTATTATTCAGAAATTTTTAGCAAATTTTCAGCAGGTAGAAGTATTGGGTGACTTCTTCAACCACTAAGAAACTTCTCCCATTCAATTGTTCCTTGGGTCATCCATGCCCTTTAACAGCTTCCACAAATTCTTCTTATCCATTTAGCAGGGAGCAGGGTGGGGTGAGGTGCAGGGTAGAACTCAGTCTATCTTCTCTGCTGCTATGACATATTGTCAATACAGCCTTTGTTTACATTTTGAACTTTTTAACTGCAAGTTCCTTCACGAAAACTTAGCTGAGACCTACTGAATTTCAACCAGAAAAGAAAAAAACATTTATGTGCAAATTATTTTCCCTGCTACTAATGTGAGTATGAAATATCAGTTGTTTCCCACCATTTCTGTAATTTATAACAGAATTATATCCCAGATCAACCTCATTGGCTATCTTTGGACCCATAGATCAGAATCATCCTAGACTGTGAGAGACTACCAAAGAAGAATATATAACAAATTCTTATAACAGCACCAAAACATTGCATATACTGACTTTTACATAATGCAACTGATGCTAAATAAGCAATTTAAAAACATCATTACTTTTTTAACATGGAAATATAAAACACTAAAAATTCTGAAAATTTATGATTACTCAGCTACAGACTTACCCAATCAGCATTTTTCAACTCATCAAGGTCTGTGCTGGATTCATCACTCCCTTCTTTGTCCATCTCCTGAATCTTCTTCAGATTCTGTCAATTAAAATAAATTTGTGAACAAGTTGTATAACAATGATGTACTGAAGCAAAGTAGATAAGATTTTCACAGGCTCCTGTTTGTTACAGCGAGATTTGTTTAGTGTCTGCTCATCTTTTCATATTTTTATGGTGAATAATTCAGAGAAATGCTTTCAGAGTGTTTACAGCCACTAGCAACACCAAATATTTTCTTTCCAATGAAAATTTCCTTTTATTGAAGGCGACTACAACATATAATTCCCTGCATAAGCCAATCAAGCCCCAGTGTAAAAATAATTAAGTTTCTTCTTGATCCTGCTGTTTGGGAGTGGGGAAGGCTCTTTCAGAACTCTGCTTTCATTGTTGTTAGAAACTGGTTTCAAATTTCCAGTCTAAAGTTATTCAAAGCCAAGTTATACCATCTATTCTTGTGCCACTGTTATCTTTAACTTAAGTACCTTTACGCCCTCTCTGGTATTTAACCACCCAATGGATTTGTTGACAGTCATCATATGCATTCTCAGCTTGTTTGGCCTAAACAAACTGTAGGTCGTAAGACAGGCAATAAGCATTAAAATCTGTAAGTCTAAATTTCTGTGAAAGCAGCAGAGTGCATCAGAACATTTGGACTTCTCATCAAGAATGCTGCAATTAAATAAGTTCATTAACCAGCAAATTGTAAGGTGTATGGCACCAAATGTGACTGATCATGTATGAGCAATGACATGAGTTTAATATAAATGCTTCTAATGTATAAAAAGAGTAGGGCTGTGCGAAACGGCTGTGTTTCGATTCGGTTTTGGATTCGGCCATTTTGGAGGACAGTGATTCGTTTCGGTGTTTTGGATCACTGTCCTGGTTCGTTTCGGCCAAGCCTGTTTCAAACAGGCTGCAAGCTTAGCACAGCCCTACTGCCCAGCTGGGCGGGGCTTGGGTCCGGGGGCTGCAGGGCCCCAGCAGGGAGCAGGATGGGGCTGTGGGTGGCTCATCTGGGGGAGGGCTGCTGCCCTCCATGCAGGCAAGGAGACCCCCATGCGGATCTCTGATCCCTGTCATGCTGGGTCGCAGGACAGGGAAGCAGCGCAGAGCAGTGAGCAAGCCTGCTGATCCCTGACATGTGACTGAACTCTGCAGGAAGCAAAGATCCATGCTGGGGTCTCCTGGCTGCCATTGCCCACCCCGCACTGCCCCAGCGACATGGGGCTGTGCGGGGTGGGCAGCAGCGGCGGCAAGGAGACCCCAGAGTAGATCTCTGCTCCCTGCAGAGCCAGGTCGCGCAGCAGGGACCAGCACTGCCTTGCTGCGCAACCTGGCTCCACAGGGAGCAGAGATCCGTGCCAGGGTCTCCACGCTGCTGGCCCCACGACGTGCAGCCCTGTGTCCAGGGCAGCATGGGGCAGGCAGCAGCAGCAGGGAGATCCCTGGCATGGATCTCTGCTCCCCACGGAGCCAAGTTGCACAGCAGGGTAGCAGCATACAGCTGTTTCCCTGCAAGTCCAGCTCTGAAACACCGACATTTTCCGAAACATTTCGGATGCCTCATTTCGTCGTCTTTCATTTCAATATGAGTTTGGTGTTTCGGGTGCCGAAATGGCCCAAAACACCGCTGAAATGAAACGGCTGCCGAAATTTTGTGTAGCCCTAAAAAACAGTAAAACAGAAATTCACTTTAGATTTATGTTTAATCCTGCACTCTATCTGATGTAGGCTAGTCCTATCACCTAGTTGATAGTATGAATAAAGGCTATGCTAAGTTTATTCACTGAATAGCTGCCATATGCTTATTCGAACCATGCTGCAGTAGGACCAAACAGGTCCTTGCAAGCAACACCACAAATAAACCAAGCTCTCATCTCACAAGATAAGCTCTGAATTTCTCTTCTCATTCTTTTGCAGCTCTTTTCCTAGATGAATCCCCATGCTTTGTATAATGGTATTAATACTTCCTCATCTTTACTGACAATGCCTTCACTGATATACATCCTAGGATTTAATTTGCCTTTTCAGCTAAGTACAGTCAAAAAGCTCAAGGCTGAATCAATTCAGTCTTCAAAGGTTAGTCTAAGCTGTAAAGACTGAATTGATATGCAAGTAAACAGACATTCACTTTTGATTCTAGAAATGCAGCCACATGCCTGCAGTGGCCCATGCCAGAAGATATGGGGCACTAGAGCATGCCTCCCTGTTTGGCTGGAGTAGACAGCTTGGGCTGAGGCTAGCCTACCCACCCTGCAAGGCTGGGTTTTTGAGGGAGGTGGAAAACATCCTGGGATGCTGGGGGACTGTGAATTAACTTGAATCTGGAGGGGATCTGGGACAGAAATTCAATAAACTGATTTAACCTAAATCAGTTAAGGTGGATACTATATCCAATCAGGTTCATCTTAAACTGGTTTCGGCCATTTGGAAACCAGTTAATGTGATGATCACCCTCCTTTACTGCAGTGAAACCTGGACTGTCTACTGACGCCACAGGATCAAATGGGAGGACAGCCAGACCAGTGCGAGCATCCTCCATGAAGCTGCGTCCACCAGCATTGAAGCCTTGCTCTTGAGAAATCAACTCCAATGGATGGGCCACTGCGTCTGGATGTCCGAGAACTGCCTCCCTCACCAGATCCTCTTTTCCCAGCTCTCCGCTGGCCAACGCTCAAAGGGCGGTCAAAGGAAATGGTACAAAGACACACTCAAGGTCGCCCTCAAGCACAGAGGCATCGACATCAATGGCACGGAGGAGCAAGCTGCTGACTGTTCAGCGGGGCGCCACCTGGTCCACTAAGGTGCGTACCACTTTGAGGCCCAAAGACTCGATACTGTGGTGGAACAGCAGTGGCAGAGGAAGGAAAAGGAAAGCAACCCAGGGCTGCGAATCCCACTCCCCTGTGCAACGTGTCCCCATTGCCAAAGAATGTGCGTATCCAGAATTATGGCTCCTTGTCACCTGAGAACCTATCAAGCCTGACTGAAATCATCCTCAACTCTGAGGGACTGCCAACAACTTCTCAGTCTAATGAATTCCCAGATTGTAGCAGAAGTTTTGTTACTTAATCCTTAAGTACACAACTTTTTCCTTTGTACTACTGAATTTCATCTGATTCCCATTATACCAGTTCAAGGTCGTTCAGTTCTTTTGTACAACACAATCCTCCTCTGTACTGACTCTCTCTCCTAACTTGGTGTCATCAGCAAATATCATTAACACACTCCTACTTTTGATGCCAACGTCATTAATTAAAATATTCAATAAAAACAAACCCAAAATAGCTCTTCAATCAATTCCACCAGTAACCTCCCACCAGCTTGATACTTCCCCTTTCAGCAATACTCATCACCATCCCCACTTGCGCCAGTTCCTTTTCCACCTTAACATTTTTTCTAGTGCTCCTCATATTCCTCAAACATGCTAATAGTTTCTTATGTGGCATGGTATCAAATGCTTTGCTGATGTTCAGTCTAAGGGAAGCTATCCAGTTAGTCTGGCATAATCAGCCTTTGGTAAAACCGTACTGCATCAGTATAAAAGTAGCTTTTATAATACATAGTTACCATCTTTTAATTGAAATAAAATAAACACAGATAATGACAAGAAATCAATCAACTACAAACAGATCTTTTAAAGATAGTAAAGGTTATAAGATTTGATAATGCTTGTTTGCAAAGTTCATGTGTTTTAATTGTAACAAAATATCAAGCTTAAAAGACATTTTAAAACATTTTAAAAAGTGTTTTTCTCAGCACAGATTAAAGATACTCAATAGCAGTTTAAATTTACAGACTTTGATTAAAATTGGACCTGCGATTGAATGCTACAGTACCTTGAAGAGTAGGTTTTTCAGGTTTGTTTCACATTTAAAAAATAAATATATTCTATACATTTTTAAATAAGTGGACTGAGCATTAGTAGCCATCATCTCATGCACACATCACATACAAAATATCACATTCAAATAAAATATCCTTTCTTACTTTTACACAGAGTGCTTTTGAAAGCACATTGGGACACAAACAAGGAATCCCACTGGACATTACTGCAGACACTTTAAGAACAGAACTGCACTTTAGAAGGGTTTAATTTACATTTTCCCAACTGATTACTTACTCCTGCACACTTCAAAAACATGACTAGCTAAAATTTTTGCTAACTAAACCTCTGGAGTTTACATTAGGAGATTAAATCAATCTGTTACAAATCTGGAAAAGTTTTAATTCATGAAGCACAAGAAATATTCACCTTCCCTTTAAAGTAGTGGTTTTCAACCTTTTTAGTTTGTGAACCCCTAAAAATGTTGAATGGAGATGCAGACCCCTTTAGAAATTTCAAATGAAGATGTGGACCCTTTTGAATTGTAAGCTTGGGTATTCACATACTTTTGATATCAATCAATAGACATTTTTCACAGACCCCTTAGATCTAATCTGCAGACTGAAAACCACTGCTTTAGAGCTATGCAATTAAACCAGCATATCACACTTTAGTGCTTCCTTTAATGCAGGGATGTCAAAGATACTGCCCCTGGAGCCCCATTATCCAGCCTGTGGTGCTGCCCAGGGGTCTCAAGTAGACCCACAAGTGGCATGTGGGGTGCTCTGGATGGATCTGCATATGGCAGCTGCTCCAGGATCATGCTGCACACAGTGCCCACTCCAGTGTCCATCTGCTCCATGATGGATGCAGAGTGTGTCCTAAAGTAGCCAGAGTAGGTGCCAAATACAGCATGGCCCCAGAGTTGCTGGAATGGAGACTGTGTGCAGCATGATCCCAGAGTAGCCAGAGTAGATGCCATGCAGTGTGTGGTCCCAGAGTGGCCAGTTCAGGACCATACCGCATATGGCACCCACCTGGGGCCACACCACATGTGGTGCCTGCTCCAATCAGTTTGCTCACTTGGTCTTTCAGCTGGTGAATGTCTGTTTTTTTTTAATCCAATGGTTACATTCGGCTGCTTCTCTTCCTTCATTTCCTTAGCGGTATGAACTCTTATCATTTCATGAATCCAAGGTGCCTTTTACCTTCT